TGTTTGCAAGCCCTTTAAAAATGAACAAATACTTTTACATAAATTATACTTGGGCAACAGAAGCTCCTCTTAGCCTGTAATATTTATACATCCTGGCCAGTAGTAACAAGTCTAGTAAACAGTAACTTAGCCATAACATAACCTTTCATAGACTTCTAATATGATAACGACAACAACATGTATGAAGTAATTTGATCTTTCTGACATTGAAATTTGTTATATTCAGCAGCATTATATTATACATTGTTTGCAACCATATCACTTACTATTTATAAACCATCTTCTATATGTAAGTCACTATATTGTACACTGAAAGATCAAAGGTTCATAATAGAGAGTGGCTTTGCTCTCCAATCTATTCACAATCGAGCAGCAAAATGAGTCCCAGAGAAAGAAGTCATAATAAAGCATATGGAAAATGCAAAGTTAGCATGTCGAGAGAGAAATGGTAAGTGTACTGAGTCCATCTTGCAGGAAGGAGCTGGGCGAGGTTATGTTTCTTAGGAAAGATGATCCAAATATTGCAGGATGAGTAGACATAAGTCACGAGAAGAAGGTGTTGGGGCAGAAGGCCATACCAAGCAGTGAAAAGATGAAAAATGCCACAGCACATTAGAGAAAATAGTTCAGTGTGGCTAAAACTCAATCTTTAAAAGGAGTAATGGAGCATGGGGTACTTGATGTGGAAGTCAAGTCCAGATCATGAAGGGTTTTGAATGGTATGCTAAAGATTTACAATCTTATCCTGAGCTTATTGTTAAGTCACTGAAAGATTTGTATGCAAAAGGATTATTTCATAAAATAGTTTTTTTTAAGAAAGGTAATTCTGGATACTGTGTGAAGCATGAATTGAAAAGACAATGACTGGAAGAATGGAAAAAAGTTAAGAGAAAATAAAAACCAAATGAAGGCAGAAATGATGAGAATGGAAAAAGAGTTGGAATCAGACAACTTCAAGATAAGAGGAATGGATAGGTGGTGAGGCAGAGGGAGGAGTCAATGTAGACTCATAGTTTTCTGATTTGAAGTTCTTAGGTTGATGAAGAAACCACTTACAGAAAAATAAAATACTGTAGGGGGAATAGATTCTAGAGGCGGAACGGTAGAGGAGATGTTGAATTTAAAGTTGCATATCCTGGATTTGAAGAGCATATGAGACTTCGGCATTAAGATACATTATAGGTAGGTGGAATTCAGAAGAAATTTGGGAATTATCAGAATTTGAATAAGTACTAGTCTCATTCTCTGTACCCCCATGGATTGATGAGGCTTTAGTTTTCTCCTTGGGCTTCCTGTTGACACCTTCTCCCCAACCCAAGAATCAATCAAACAGTAGAAAGAGGGTTCCATCAACTTCATAGAAGTTACCAGCTCCAAATTATTGTGAAGACCATGTCGTCATGGCAATGGTAATGTTTTGCTGACCAGATCGTGGAATCTACTCCTTCTCATCCCTTGCGTTGCTCACAGGTAGGACCAGTATTACCTCACACCTCTGTACTCCCCATCAGGGTTCTCAAATTGCTTCTACAAGGAACTGACCATGGACCCACACACAGGTATATACTCACCAGGCCTGGCCCACTGGGTCATAGACTATAGACCAAAACAAAGGGAAATTATTCTGGGTCATGTCCAGATCCTTGGATCCTAATGTGTAAGGGTACTTCTGTACCTTGGGATGTAACTTTCTTGGTCCAATAAGCAAAATAATGCCCTCTCCCCCCCACTCCCCCCCCAAAAAAGCCAAAGAACTCCATGTCCTAATCTCTAGAACTACTGATATGTTACCTTATAAGGCAAAAGGGAATTAAGGCTGTTAATTATCCTAGACTTTCTGGGTAAGCTGAATATAATCATGAATCTATAAGAGAGAGGTAGAGAGAAGGTCAGAGTGGTGCCAGTTGAGAAAGACTCAACTTACTGCTGCTGACTTGAAGATGGGCCCACAAGTCAAAAATGTGGGCAGCCTTGGGATGTTGGAAAAGGCAAGAAAATGGATTCTCTTCAAGAGTCTCCAGAGATGAACACAGCCCGGAGAACATATCAATTTTGACCCAGTTAGAACTGTGTTAGACTTAAAGAGCTCTAAAATAATAAATTTGTATTATTTAAGCCACTGCATTTGTATTAATATGTTTAAGCAGTCAAATAATGCTAATACACCTATAAATACTCAAAAGAGCAGGATAGCACAACCCAGTGTGGAGGTGTTGATGCCCTATAGGGTGGATTTTGACAAGTCTGGGAATGGAGCCTGATTCTTTCACACCCATCCCAGATTTTTCTGACACAATAGGATTTTACACAGCTTTTTAAATTTCAGAATAATGTCTCATTGTGTCACAATTCTCCTACCTCAGTCTCCCAAGTAGCAGGGAGTAAAGGTATGTGCCAAGTTCAGTTTTGGGGGCCAGCCTCCCATTTGGCCTCAGCCTGCTACCTAACTGTATCAACCAGCATGTGTGACTGCATGTGGGTCCTATATCGCCTTCGTGAAGCAAACTGTGGGACAGAGAACTCAGGCATGTTTTTCACAGAGCTGCAGCCAGCTATCCTCTTGCATTTATTCTTACCATTCATCACTCATTTCCCTTTTTTGCTCATTTATGCTTCCTAGGAATGTAGTAGCATGTGTAGATTGGGCTCACCAAGGCTGCTTTCTAAGAACCTGAGACAAGTAGAGGCTGCTACCATGCATGTGGGTGAGCCATTTCTAAAGGGTGTGTAGAGTGATCAGAAGGGTCAATGGATGGGTTCTTAGGAAGCCTACAAGAGCCAAATGGCACAAGAAGAGCCTGAAGAAAGAGCAGGGCAGAGAGGGAGAAGAACAAAACAAAACTGGGAATCATCAGTGTTTTAAACCCGAGGGAGCAAGAAGTATGCCGTAAGAGGAGTGGTCACTGAAATGATGGTCGGTGAGACCAAGTAAGAGGAGAATTGACATTTAAAAATTAACACTGACGTAGCCGTTGCAAACCTTGGCAAAGGTAGAGACAAAACCAGGTTACAGGAGATTTAGGAATGAATCAGAAGAGATGAAATCTAGACAGCAGCACAGGCATCTCTGTAGGTGTCTTGGGTACGGAAGCAAGTGTGAGATAGCACCTTAGCTAGCAAATAAAACTGGGTGAGAGGAAGGAGTTTTAATTTCTATTTTCATCATTTTTTTTTTAAGACTGGAGAAAACATATTCCTATCCTAAAGGAAATGAGCCTAGGGAGAAGACAAATTTAAAGATTTACATGATAGAGAAGTCACACAGGTATACACCTGGTAGAGAATGTAGTATTTTCACTTTATCTCCTGGAATGCTGTCACACATGCACAAATGTGTTTCCCTCCTCCAAATCTATTAACAATTTGGCTACAACTTCTGTTTGAGGAGGCTCACTCTAAGTCAGACAGGACATTAACAAACAATTGACCCTCTACAGGTGATTCTAGGTAGCAGATAGAGTCATGGACTTTTTCTCTTTGCCTTTTCTTAGAGAGAAACAAAGATTTTGGTAGCACCCAGTCCAGTGAATTAAAACTAGCAGAAGGCAGGAGGCACCCACACTTCCAGAATAGGAAGGGATTTTGTTTGTTTGTTTTGGTGAACTTCAGAATTATCCTGCATTCTCCCAGAGGAAGAATGCAGCCACAAAGCGTGATAAATATTAATACTAGGCTGAAGCAACTCAGAAAACTTCTTCCCGTTAACACCCTCTACAACAAGCATACACATATGTGCACATACACATCCATACAATTTGAACCAGAAAGAAACAAATACAAAGGTTGGCCAATTGCTCTTTTTTAAGAATCAGATTTTTAGTGTTTGAGGGACATTTTCAGAATGACTTAGTTTAGTACTCTCATTTGACAGTTGAATAAATTGAGGCATAATGAAAAGTTATAACAAAAGCATGCCAATATTATAATGTGCTTCTACATACATTACTTCATTTGATCCCCAAAAAGATAAAACTAGAACAGATCAAAATTGTACCTCAAAAATATTCTTTTAATCCCTGCACTTCTATACAATAGGGGTATTTATATTCCTCTCCTATTGTCTACAGGTTGAATACATTATTTCCACTTTTCAGGTACAGAAACCAAGGTTAAAGTATGTAAAAGCATAAGTGGGATGTCAGACATTGGACATGTCTGACGATCTAAAAAATCATGTCAAAAATCAACATAAAATTTTTTAATTTCAGAGATTTCTTTAATTTTTCTTAATTTTACATTTTCTAGTATTTGATGCTTAGTTTGACTTACAAGGTTTAATTAAACATCATGACCATGTTTTATGATAGATGAAACCATGAAGAAAATGGAAGATGAAGGACTTGTTGAAAGTCTTGGAAGTAGTTAACCACTGTACTAGTACTAAAGCAAGAGTTAGGCTCTGAAGTCTTCCCCCCTAGCCCCGGTACTGGGAGTTTTCCATCCTGCTTACAAACTGACGTTATCTGAGGAGCTTTTTAAAAAAATACAAGCGCCTGGACCTTGCCCTAGACTAATTGAATCAGAATCTCTAGTGGATGGGCTCTGGGTGTCTGTTTTTATAGCTGCTGTTTGTTTGTTTATTTGTTTGTTTTTTAAAGCTTTGTAGGTGATCCTTTGAGCTTTTGAGCTTGCGTTGAGAATCACTGCATTATACATTTAAAATTCTTCATTTTCATTTCACAGAGTTTGTTTTCCTCTCCTGCAATAATAGCTAACATTTTTTTTTTTTTTGGTAGCATTCTGGCAGCGATGTGGGATTCATTTTATTTTAGCTCTCCACGGAACAGAAACAATGCTACTGTGTATACAAGTATCTTGTAATACAGGTTACCAAAGTCTTATTAAATTGCCCACTCTAACAGCAAGAAGAAAAGAATTTCTTCAACCTGTGCTCCCCAAAAGCAGTCAAATACTTTCTGTACCATATGGCACTGGAGGCTAACATCACATTGCATCCATACAGCACAGAGGAATAAATACTAGAAACATAATACCTTTGTTTTAATTGCTGATGATGGTGGCTACAGCGTGAACAGAAACTCCCCGATGAAGGATGAGACTCGGAACACAGATGAACACAGAGCCGGTTGTCTCTCACGCCAGAGCCCCCCGTGTATTATTGCTGGTATCCATGTGTAACAGATAGTATTGTGCACTGGGCTGGAAGATAATAAATAGATGTGAGATGATGATTTACAGAAGGGTGCTTAGAACTCCTTGAACCAGCAGGAGAAGAAAACAGTGCTGGTACAAGGTTGTACTGTCAAACTCAAAATCCTTTTTTTCCTTTCTCTCCAGAGGGTAATTTCTTCAACACATAACTTGCTTTCTGCCTTATCATCCAGAAATTTGGTGGTTAATTACTAAATTGCCTGATCCACACATTTCTGTAATATTTATTCCCCTTTGGTTGACTTTCTCTCTCTCTTTTTTTAAAAGCCACACTTTTAATAAAAAATGTCTCATTAAAACCGCCTTTACTTTGGGCATCTTTGTACACCTATTTCTACTCCTTTTAAAAATCCAGTTTTATTTAAGCAATTGTAGTTTAATGAAACTGTGGTCTAACTACAATCTATATGATTGAGATCTCCACAGCAATGAAATAAAATAAAATAAAATGAAACTGAACATGCCAGTAAATTCTTTGCATGATTTATTTTAATAAATTGTTTTATTTCATATGATTTTCATTGACAGAGAAAGAAACAATTCCACAGAAAGTGGTGATGATAGATATATTAAGGTGATTAATGATGTTGTTTGGTTGATGTCTCATCTGTATCAAATGAAAAATAGGTTCTTATTTATCTACAACTATGTTTTTTATTATTCTAATATTAAAAATAATCACAAGAACAAAACATAATTAATTTGCCAAAAATGGAGCATGTTTTATTTAAGGGCTTACCTTAGACTACACAGTTTTACATATAGACCACCTAAACCAGCCCTCAGTGTCTCATAGGCCCCTCCATTTAACATAGCAATTAAGCATACTGCCTGTACAGTCACCCTGGGGAGTCTAAATCCCACCTCCACCACTTGCAAGCTGTATAATATGGGGTCGGTTGTCACTGTGCCTCAGTTCCACATTTCTAAGATAAGGATAAAAGTAGTATCTATCTTGGGAGCAACAGATGGTGTAATGGTTATGTCATGGACTCTTAGTCAACTGTGGTTTGAGTCCCCAAACCGATAGCCTGGAGCTCACACTGGGCACATATGCACATGTGCCCAGGATCCCAGAAGGAGAATGAAAGAGAGGAGATTGCAGAGTGACCAATTTCTGGGGGTATGATTTCTTGCTTTCTGTGTCTCCAGTGAGTGCATATGCCCTAGAGCAAAAAAAAAAAAAAAAAAAAAAGAAAAAAATTATGCTTTACAAAAAATAAAAGAAAAAGTAATAGTATCTATTTCATAGAGTTAGTGCAAAACATCAAATGCCTAATGCTTAATGTGTGTGCTCCATAAAATAAAGTATTATAGTCACCAGTCTGGGGTGCCCCTTATTAGTCATAGTGCATTCATAGGTTTCTGATGAACTGTATACCTTAATTGGAAAACATGAGTGTGTTCTACCCAATTCATTTTTCTGATTATTTTGTCAACTCATCATTCAGGATTGAGAGTTCCAAGGTAGAGAAAAGTGACTCAACTTGTGTTGAATCAAGCAGTTTGAATCCCTCTCCACCAAGACTTTGCTAAGGAGAAAACAACTCTTCAGGAAAGAACAGAATATCCAACCAACATGCATTTGAGTTAAGCCCTGCCTCTTACCGTGAGATCTTTAATGAATTATTTAATCTCTCCAATATTCAGCTTACTCAGAAGCTAACTATTCTGAGGATTTAAATAAGATCACACATGCAAATATTTAGCCACATGCTGGGCTCAATTATTGTTACTATTATCATTTATCGTTAGAAAGAAGATAGAGTGTAGACACATGGGAGGTACAGATAGGGAGAGACCAGAAGCCATAGGAAGAGGGGGACCAGCAGTTAGAGTAATGGCTATGTCGTTGGACTCCCATGTAGTTAACCGCAGTTCGAGTCCTGGACTCAGCAGCTTAAACATTCATCGGGTGTGTGTGCGTGCATGTCCAAGATCCCAAGAGGAGAATGGAGGAGAAGGGATTGTGGCGTGGCCATCACCTTGGGGGGTGATTTCTCGCTTTCTGTCTCTCTGTCTCTTTGTGTCTTTCTGGCAAGCGCACGCGCCCTATAGCAAAAACCTCTCCAAAAAAAAAAAAAAAAAGAAGCCATAGGTAGAGGGTGCAGGACACATTTGGGATGGTTTACAAAAAGAGTGGTCTTCTGGGTCTCCAAACACCATCTGGTCCCTCCCTGTTATCTACTCCTCCCTGTGAACTGCGAACTGTTGCGTTCAGTCATTCAGTCAGTATTACTGAGTCCCTAGTATGGCTGGGTACTTTTCTTGGTGCCAACTTTAAATCAGTGAGCATGACGGGCTATAGTCCTACTCTCAGAGAACTTACATTCTATGAAGACCCTCCAATAAGCAGGTAAACAAAGTAAGTGAGGAGGATAATTTCAGGTCATGAAAAGATAATAGTCTGGGCTATGGGAAAGAATACTTTAGATAGTGGATAAGAAAGGCCAGTTGAAGAGGTGAAATTTAACTAGACTAGAATAAAGAGAAGCCATCCATGTAAGATCTGAGAAAAGAACATGCCATTCAAAGGTCCTGAAGTGAAGTGATTTTTGGCCCATTTCCAGGCCAGGGTAGCTATTGAATGCATTGGACTGCGCTGGAAAGCACAGCAAAGCCCTGGCTTTGGAGGGCATTGCGAGTCCTGGAAGGAGCCTGAATACCTGGTGCTACATGAGGCCATGAGAAGCCTTGAAGCAGGGCATTGCAGTGATGGGCCTACCACACAGGCTCTTGCTGTGAACCATCAACAGGAAGCCATGTAGAGTGTACAAGATTCACTGTCACGTATTTGTTCTTGACAACAAAAGAACGGGGTGATTAAAGTAGAGGTTTTGCTCTCTACTATGGTTTCCATGTGTCTTACTAAAATTTATATGTTGAAATGTGATTGCTATTATGACATTGAGAGAGGGAAATCTGAATCTGACTATGGTATTAAGAGGTGGGAGATAGTTATAATTAGATAAGTCTATAAGAATAGGGACCCTATGATTGAATACTGGTGGTTATACAAGAAGAGAGAGAAGAGCCAACACACACTCTTCTCCTTTCGCCATGGGATGACTGACACTGCCTCAGCACTGCAGGGATCCTGCACCGACGAAACAGCCTTCACCAGGTGCTGCCTGCGGACCTGGATCTCAGGAATCACGAGCTGCATAAACCTTTGTTCTTTTCGTGGTATTCAGTTATAGCAACAGAGAAACAGACTAAAAATACCCTTGCAATTTTATAAATAAGAAAACTAAAGTTCACAGTTTCCAATTTTCCCCCGACTTGATTCCTCATTCTGGCAGAGGAAAATGAGTTAGTGGCAAGTTATAGGTTCTGGTTTCGGATTTGGCTCTTCCAATCCTGACCTCTAACTCTGTCAAGGGATTCAGATCACACTTGGTTTAGCAATCAGATTTATTCTATGAAATTTTTTTAAAATAAAAGTTTTGATTATTTTTCTCCTGTTTGTTTTTCACACCTTATGATTTCTATTTGATTTCCCATTAGGTCCTGCCAACTAAGGGTAAACTCCTTGGATGTATGTGTTAGGCTTCTGTGAGTGGTAATAACCGCAGTGCTATAAGAATCACTAAACGCATAAATATGACATGACTCCCTTCTCGCCATTCCCTGCGCGGAAGTACAGACTGAGTGTAACGAGAAGTCTGGTGAGGGGCTCAGACAGGCAGTGTAGACAGAGGCATATCATCAACATCTATGAAGATTTCATAAGCTCTTCTAGACCTTCACAAACCGTGCCTCTCATTAAAATAGCAAGCACAATAATTTGTACTATATGGTAATTCCAACATTTGCTATTCAATATTTGAGGTATTTACAGCTTTCCAAGTTACTGGACCAAAAACGCATAGAGCTCAGAATGACAGTGGTCAAAGATAACATTACATATGCACTTGGACCAGAAAAATAAAAGGAATGTCTTAGAATTTAATGAGAGGTAGAAAGAAACATTGGTTCTTTTCAAAATTGTAGGATCGACAGTACTAGTGATGACACTTACACTGATTTAGTAAGAGAGAAGGTAGACAAACTTGGCCATAATGGTAACGAGCTAGGAAAATTGAGCTGTATTAATCAAACAGAGTAAAGAAAAATGTTCATTAACTGCATAGTTTGTTAGCACTACCCTTTTTTTTTTTTTTTTTTCACTGTTTGTTAGGAAGACGGAGGCATGCACTGGAAACACTAATTCTAATTATTACTGTAAGTGGGAGTTTTTGGCACAAGGTCAAGAAATAATAGGAGAATGTGTGAATCTCACTACTGAGCTGCAGTAAGTCTAATCATTTGAATAAAGCCAGTTGTTTTTTCTTGGACCGTCTCTGGGCTGTTCAGTGTTCTGGATGAATCTAACACAATCAGGCTGTTCTCTGGTGTATAATGCCTCAGGGCAACTTGCTTCCTCTGCCGTTTATTAAAATGAAACATTCATATTAAAACCCCATTTTTTAGTGATGACCAAATATACATTAGTAATGACATTATTAAAACTATTTTGTTACAAATGAACTTTCACACTAGCGTGTTGCAAAGCGGCACAAACAAATCTATCTAATTTTGCTGGAGATGGCTTTAAAAGCTTGCAGATCTTTCTGGCGCTATTACAGAAGGGGATTTGATGTGTGTTTCAGGAGACAATCTAAGTTTTTATGGCCATAAAAAATGAATACTGTTTCCACTACTCTACATAGCAAATAATGTATAATTCATGATTTTTCATTAACATGCAAATGTGAAATAGTGTCTTCTGTGTTTGCATCTACTAATAATCTATTAAATATTTAGAAGCATAGTAAAGAATACTAAAAATATTTGGTCTGGCTACTGTTTAAGTGGATTTTTCCCTCATATTTTTATTTGTCCATATAGTTACACATGTAAGAATGTGGGAGAAACAGACAAGCAAGTCATCAATGCAGTCACTGGCATTTGTAAAATAAGACAATAACCGTAATGTTTATGTAGTT